ATAGAAAAATGAACACAAGCTATTTTTTTCTGCAGCAGTTCTTTAGGTAATGATGTAGAACAATGACAGTTTTGAAAATGTATTTTGTGACTTAACTTCAGAGAAATTATATTCATTATTGACAAGACAATGAAACAACTGTTATCTATTGACTTTTGTTCAGTTGAAATTATTGACCTTAGATGTACAAAAACATTACTGCTACATCTACAAACACGGACGATTACATTTTCATTTTTTTGGATAGTATAAAAAACAGGAAGGTACAGTAGCTGTTCTATGTGAAAATATGGCTCTTGTGGTCTTGACTGACGATATGGATAGCAAAGGTTTCCTTTATTCATTAACTATAAAATAAATATATATTGGCCTTGTAAACTTGCATTTACTAAAAAAAAAGCTCTCACCTCTGACCCTCTTTTGAATACCATGATATGCATGCAACATCACTTTCAAGTTTGATTCATTTTAGGTTAGTACTGCCTTTTTTTGTTGCTGCATTAATTCTCCTGTGTGCTGTCTGGTCTCCAGATGATGTCATCTGTAGTATGAAGTTTGCCTGGCCTTACCTGTGTAAAATGATCACGTACTGCTTGGATGTCAAGAAATGCTGGAATAAAGTTAGTCAGGCACTACAGCCAAATTGAAAACATGGGGAGATGTCAGGCTGGGTGCCATCCTGGCCGCTTTACATCCAGTCCAATAGTCTCTATCCACCAACTTTAACTACCAGAGCAGATGTAAACTAACCAGGATGGCACCCAGCCTAGGGAAATGTTCCAAATGTGGTGGATTTCCAGAACATATGGAATGGTAATCCTGACTCATCCCCATGTATATTTTTCCTGGTGATGTCAGAGGTCCTGCTGGCAGGCTGTTACACACCACAGAAGAATTCTCCTCCTCCTGGGGAATGCCTTGGGTGGGGAATCCTGTGGAATATGCTGGGTCAAGTCCAGGGCAGCAGCAGGAAAGGGGGATGTCCTTTCATGATGAATAGTCCAAACTTCCTGTGCCAAAGATAGTCCCAAGAAAGGGTTTTATAGGGGATAAAGATTTATGCTGATCACTTAAGGTATTTATTTATCCAATGAGCCCTGTACTTCTGAGTCCTTGCAATAGATTTCATATTCTTACTGAAGTGATACCTGGAAGGAAAAAAGTATGGGAGTTATCCCCCTTCTTGTCAATCTAAAGGAGTTGTCAGAAACCCCTTTCAGGTCCTCAGCCTAAACCCAGACCATCCCGTTTCCATGGCGCCAGTGACGATCATCAGGGTTGTTGCTTGTGAGGTCATCAGTACATGACAACAGTTCTGAAACACCTGTTTTCTTTTAGGATGGACAAAGTTCAAGGGAACCCCTTTTCCACATATAGATTTGACGTGAAAGGGAAGGCGAGTGTGTGCAGGGGAATGTGGGCACTTCCTTTGCCCAGTGGGTTTGTGGGCTGGCCACATAAGGTTCTAATTTAGAGTGCCAGTCACTGTGAAGCAATGTTCACCTTTCTGCCAGGGACAAGACAGGGAACCATTTGTCATCATACTTGTTTACCAGGCACAGGTTCCCTATTTGGAAAGTTGATGTCAAGGGGCACAGTGTATTCTACAGGGTTTAGAGTCATCTCCCTACCTGCCTATCATTGTCCTAGATGCAAATCTAACCAGTATGGTAAGTAAACTGTACAATTGTCTGCAAGTCAAGAAGGGCGTAATTCATCTACATTTGATGCTCAAACCTGTCACTCTACTCGTTCTACTCTAACTTGTCCTTTTGCTAGGCGAGGATATTCATAACCTTGACCTTGAACCATCCCATTTTTCCATTTCTTAGTTTAAGTTACTTTAACAGCTGTTCTCGGGTGTCTTTTTCAACTCATCTGTGTATACACAACATTTATTATACACATCAAGGAGGTTTAAAAAGAGACACCTCCTTGTACACATGTAACAAGTGCAGATGGGTAACCTGAATATGCCAAGGACAGAATAGCATATAAAGGGAAAGTGTGAATATTTATGTGTCCTACTTGTGTCTACACTGTCATACTAAAAAAAAGTGAAAGTGGCATTATACATGTAATATAAAGCAGACATAATCCGTTACAATCTAAAGGAACTACTCTACATAAGTTACCCTGTGTATCCCTGATTCCAAGAACTGCCTGGGCTCCTATAGGATATTGTGGCCTGGAATATATCTAGTTACCCCCTCCTAATCCAGCTTGCTGCTGGGATGTTTGAAGTAGTGAACATGTTGCTTGAACCTCTCAGGAATCTGAAGGCCAATGGGCTTCTCTTAAATCAACTGTAATGACCATTGACTTTAAAAGTTAGGGATTTATGTCCTCAGTGGGAATATCTCTATTGTGAGTAAGAAATTTGTGCTGTTGACATGGTATTTGCTAGAATATAGGTTTTACTTTTGTTTCCTATGACCATGCATTAGATCTGGGTCAAGAATTCCAGAACAGAGCTGCTCTCAGGTTTCAACCATGTGGGTCTATGTGGCCTCATGGGAGACACATTTTCTTGGTTGTACCAGTCAAAATCTGTTACCAACAACATATCTCTAGTAACCTACACAATGGGGAAAATTCATCAGTGGAAAGCTTTTCCAGATACATGTACTTAATTTACAAAGTCACATATTATGATTTCAAAAGTACCCCCTCCTACCATGCCAAACCACTGCCTGTGGTACATCCCAGCAGGAAAGGTTACCAACGGTCAGGCTAATTTCTGTTCTGGCTGAGGTGAAGTACACTTTTGTCCAGATCTGTTCTTAACCCAGCAATTTTCCTTCATTGGTCTCAATGTAATTTTGTCCTGGACTTGCTGCTCCTCGGGTTATTGTTGCAGATAGGTTGCAGATGTTGTTTTGGGGAAAGGCTGTCCTCCCCTGGGGCTGTCTGGGTATGGTAGGTTCCAGATGCAGGGTCAGAGTGTTTATTTCCTACTGAGGCCACCTCGAGGTTGTGGAGAGTCAAGTGTGTGCTGCCTGCCCAATGCTGGCATCTATACATCATAGCTGCCTGTGGGTGGGGTTGCTATTTGCCTAGTAGGCATCCAAGTGTTTGGATGTGTAGACTTCATATCCGGTCACTAATGATGGTGTATAGCATATTATCAAGGCCCAACTTGGCCTTTGGTTCAGATGTCTGTGAAGAATTTACATTAATAGTATATTCGATGTGTTGCATGAATAGAGCAGACTAAAGTCTACTATGTTTAAGTTGTTGCTTGTATTGTCAAGTGTCTTCATTTGTCAAATTTTATAATTTTATAATGAATCTATCGGAAACAAAATTGAGACCCTATCATGTTCCGGAATATTTCTTAATTAGGGAACAGTTGTGCTTGTAGCAGGGTGCCTGCTTTCAGGGAAATCATCCACAGGCCAGCAACTACAACTTATGCCTCAGATTGGAGACCAGTTTGGCGACTGGTGTTTGGCGACCGGCTTCGATTCGGTCAACTTAACCCCAGTGGGAACAATCCCTATCTGCCTCAGTTGGAAGGAGATTAAGCCGGTCAGCAAGATCCATCTCGCGAGGTAGATCGTAACTTAACTGAGCGGATTGAGTCGAACCGAGCCGGATAGGGACCGGATCAAAGCCAGTCGCCAAGACGGTCGCCAATCTATTTGGCTCAATTCAGACAATTTTATCCTAGTGGGAACGGGGTCCTTAGATAACAGATCATTGTTGTAAAACTAAAAGTTCCACTGTAGAGATCTATTATCCATTCATTCGCAAAAGACTACTTGTTCCAGAATTATTCAGCTGTGATGTAGATATGCTAATGTAACACAATCAAAATGGATCTTTCTTTGTAATAACTTCAGATCAGCATGGAACAAGTTTGTTTTGTCGTTTGTTCAAACAAACTTTTGAGCATGCTGTTTGACTGAATGACAACATACACAAATGTCACTTCCAATCTTGCAGGTAAAACTTGCATGCACAACAAAGATACTAAGATAGAATGTAAGCATATTTACATTGCAGATTGATTAATTGCACTACTTGAGTGATTTTGGTATATGCAGTCTTTTGTGTTCAGTGCAAGAAGTATGTATGAAGAAGCTGCCACTTGGAAATGGTACCTCTGTGCATGTGTACAAGTTGAGGTATTGACTAGTATGCTATTTCATGTGTCCCTGGCTAAATGTCAAGTAGTTCTTACTGACTGGTACACTGAAAGAGTGGTAATGACTCATGTTAGTTCTGTGGTCCACTTTCCAACACCATGTCTCACCACAGAGTAGGCTGATAGCCTGACCATCGACATACCTGTGGTCTGCTCTACCACTGGAGAGTTTGGCTCCTTTTGTTAATGCTTGCAAGGAACTAGACTTCACTGCATGAAGTTGCCCTCTTCCCTTATTCTATTATATTATTTCTCAAGAAAAACATTATTTGTATTTGGAAGCATAATTAAAATCGTTGAGTTGTAAAGGTACATAACAAACAAATAACTGAATGGAGACCAAATGTCCACAGATGGAGGAATAATTAACTGAGAGTCAAGTGTTATTATTAGGCTCCCCAGGTGAATGCATGCTCTGTCAATACAGCAAAAGGCTTCCAAACGCCTGCCTGCATTGTTGACTCAGAACTTAATCATATGCTAATCTAATTTCATAACTGTTAGTCCTGGAATGAGCTGGAGTAGTGGTGAGTTATATTTAGAAACCTGAGATGTTATTACATTACCATACACAACTCTATTGTTTGAAATGTAACAATATCTTTTTCCCACACTAGCCAAACTCCTGTAAAAAATCTAATCAGGCCTATGGCAGGAGTCATCAGACCTCATCAAATCACATCAAGGCAATTATGGATAGTTCCTCTGAAAAGCTGTCCCTGTGGACCCACTTTTTATTCCTCCCCTGGGGAAAATCAATTTAGCATTCAAAATCTTTCATAAAGGATTTACTGTACAAAAGATAAGCTAGGAGGAAGACAATGAATTTCAATTGTTTTCTTCTTTACAGATGATGAGAGAATTTGGAAGTCAAGCGAGAGAGTAGCCACAGACCCTGGCCTCATCCCCATCAAAGTCCGTACCATGTTGGGGCAGGGAGGAGGCTTGGTTGTGCCATAATCATGTCATGAGGGAGGAACAACAGGGACTGTGTACCGGTGTACCCTAATACCCCTCCTTCCTGCTACATGGTAAGTCTGACGAGTCTGACAGGGATACAGGCTGTGAACAACAGTCATCAAATCCCATTGTCATGGATATTTGTCTATATTAATTATGTATGAGATGACTGCTTTTCATACACCCGATTGATTCTCTCTTGCTCCCTCCTGAGACAAAATTTTCTGGGAACCTTGCGATTGTAGGTTTCCCCAAATTAGTGTAATTAAGTCTGCCACTAGTGGTAATTTCAATATCAGTGACTACTTTACAATCAGCAATAATGATTAGGAGATGGTGACTGATGCGTGATAAACCAGAGAGCAACCAACAGATGTCAGTTGCCAGTTTGTCTGCAAACTGTGATTTTTTTACCATGATTTATCCCTTCATTGTTGTTCATTTAATGGTTGTTGTTCTAACTAAAGGTGAGCTTTTACCAACAAAAACATTTATATTTAAGACTCGCAATTCTAACACTAATAGTATTTTGGGTAACAGGTAAGCAGACATTTTAGCATAAAATGTGCTTTGCGGCAGACTGATTTTTGAGCAGATGTGTCAACTCACTTCACTATAATTATGTTCACATTATTTCCAGCAGTTGTCTCCTTTTATATGTGCAACGCTTGTTCTTATCCCTCCACCATCTATTGAAAATGTATCAAAGGAAAAGTTCAGAGTTGTTTTTTTTTTGGTGAAATATCCTTATATTCCCAACACAAAAACAGCTAGACTCTAAACCAGCTTGTGTTTCTTGAAGGCTAAAACCAAGGACATTGCTAAAACAGACCAACTGTCAGACTGACCTTTCATATATCTTCTTCTTCCGCACATACTTATTGCCTTTGTGACTTGTTCATTTACATTGCAGAGTTACAAATAAAGAGGAGCATTGGAAGTTAGTTGATAGATGTTTGGCTCATCTCTGTTTGTGCTCTTTCATCAAATTCATGTTTCCAGGGGAGCATGATAGGGAAGGGGTCCAGCAAATCTGTTGGCATCCCAGGCAGTAATGAATCCACCACTTCTCCCTGGGGCTAGCAAGCTGCAAATGCCATCAACTGAGCCAAAATCTGCAGCAAAGTAAACATTTCCCCTTCATAATTAAGTTAGATGGGCTCTCGCCCCAACTGTTTGTGTTTGTGGAAATAGGAAGGACTATTTCCACTAGCTCCTCTATCCATGGATTTTCCATCACCTCCAGCTTTACAACACCAGGATCTGCCCAGCACCGAGCAGGAATGCAGGAAAACATGCACAGATTGTCAATAACTTACAGCCTGCCTCATTTAAATTCATGTCAAGCATACCACATCCCCTCTGAACTCCACTTTGTTGTCAAAACATGTTGGTGAAACATGATTTCTGGACAGCCCTGAACCCCCCACCCCTAAACAGCACCCAACACTAATCCATCCCTAATTTCTCAGGGCTAGCCCCCCACAGATGATTGCTAATCCTGCCATCATTACAGCTCAGACTTTTGTTGGTGTTGCAAGATTATGACTTAGGGACACATTTGCTTGGAGGGACAAGAAGCAGACAGGTTAAAAGACAACATTTCAAACTCCACAGCATGCACACAGTGTGGATCTGCTGACTTGACTTACATTTTCGTGTATGAGAATTGTCAGAAAATTCCAAAGAACTTTTGGACGAATGGCCCACTTTTTTTTTCAAACTTTCTCTTTGTAGCCTTCCCCTAATTAATATTCCAGGCATTCGTCCACCAGGTCATGAGGTATATTTTCAACTGGAAGTTTTTGGCGTCGGAAATTGTTGGCTGGGAGAAGGAATGGTACCGCAGCCTTGGCCACAGATGTCACTTCTGCTTTTTAACAACAGCCCACAAGTTGGTTGTTTTCCATTATGTCAATATAATATCATTACTGGTCCTCTATTAGCTTTTCACTCTGCTGCTTCTTTATTTACTCTTTTGCTTCAACCTAACAAGGGCTGTTTGTAGCTAGTTTCATGTTACACATTGTGGGTTGGCCAAATGAAAGTGTGCTGCCTGGATGCCAGTGTATTAGGTTTAGTCCACCCCCAGACTTTGGAGAGAGTGGGGGCCTGGTAATGGATTTGGGTGGTGGTTGAGATATGAGTGAGGCTTGTCTCAGCAATACAAGTGGAGTGTGGGTTTCTGTTTTTGCCTTGGTATTTCAAGGCATCTTGTTTACAAGAGCCAGCCATCTCAATCACACTTGACCATTTTCTGGTCTTTCATTCAAAATTAGATGACTGTCATTTTCTTGCACTCTAAGGCCACAACAATTTTATTTTATGGATGACAATCGCGTGCGCATTGATTTTCGCCTGTTCTCAAAAAACTAGGACTCTAGACATGGTAATAGCTGGTTGTAACTCGGATTGGATGGCACCCAGGCTACCAAACGATGGCAGGAACTTGTGCAGATTCATAAATTCTGCAAAAGGCAGCATGTGTCGGCTTGTATACGTCACTATGTACTGCTACAAATTCACAATACCAGCTGCTTTGTATTCCTGTGGTTTAATTTTTTTATTCGCCTGCGCGCATTAGTTTGGGGGTCTTCAGAGGTTGTCATCCATAAAATTAAGTCAGTGTGGCCTAACAGATGCTAAATGGAATTCATACTTTCCTCCCAAAGTTGTCTCTTGGACCTACCTATAATGAGAGATAGGAAAACATTCAGAGAAATCAACAAACAAGGATCAGACAGGCTCATTAGGGGAATAATGATGGTAATTCAATAGCTGGTAATTCAAGACAGAAATTTTGTATGAAATGTTAAATACTGTATATGTGTATGTGTAGCAGGTTTGAGAGAATGAGAGAGATATGTGCTAAGTGAGGTCTGGTAAGTGGCTCCCGTTTTTTGTAGTTCTGTTGCAAAAAAGCAAAGCAAATTCAGTACTGATAGTAGTGTAGGTACTGTACTACCGGTAGTGTTCAAGTGGTTTCTCCCTCAGCAGTTGGATTCAGGAAAAGGGATGGTCCATTTGTGCACCATAGCATAAACTTTGACCAAGTGAGTATAGTATTATCTGGATAGTTTAGTCTGGAGCCCATAAGTTTGTCACTGGTCGTTTATCATCCACCAAAGTGATTTGGTTGTGGAGCAGAGTGGTCCAAGTTTATTTTCTCTATATATAAGTAAGAGCATTATGAACATAAACCCTTAATGCAGCACCATCTCAACTAGTTATTGTGAACATCCATCTTTCAGCAACTGCCCTTTTTCTGCAGTTCTTCTTGCAGTGGACATCCAGGAGCAACAAACAACATCATCAAATATCATCTGGTCTTGAGCAGCGATCAAATAACTAAAATGGATGTTTCATGAGCTTCTTTAGCCTCTTGGTTCAATACTCAGCTGGTACTGTCTCACTCTGATACTATTATGATCTGAGGACACACAAATGTGATACACAGCTACATGATGTAGGTAGTACGAACTGTTACAAACAGTGGTCTCAAGTGCGACTCTGGTTCTCCCATATGCACTGAACCTACCACAACTGTGAGATGCTTGTCCTCCCAAGTCCCAGCTCCTGTGACAGCCTGTGAGACAGCAGATAACACCTGCCACTCTGGCAGTCTACCCACAAAACAACAAATTCTGGGACTCCTTATCAACCAAACAGGCCACACTGTGCTTTTAGCCGCCATAGGGGCTGTGTGACTACACTGTTGTGTGGTTAGGACTCATCAGTGGGGAAAGATGTACATGAATATTCTGAAAGAGACATCAAAAAGCCAAGAAAGCTGTTGAATACCTGCAATAGTAGTATTACTCAATTACATTTATGTTACACATGTGAAGAGCATACACTGCAACTGCTCTCATATTTTAAAGTTTGTGTGAAAGTTGCAAGTTTCCAGTTCCTCCCCACTCCCCACTTCAGTAGCAGTTAGCCTGATAAGGTGTTCAAGAAACCATATAATTTAGCACTGCCATACTTCCTGGTTGTTTGCATAGGTTCCACTCTTGAGCCAATTTGGGAAAAGAAAACATCTTCTGGCCAATTGTTAGTGAACTGGAAGATATTACTGCCATCAGCCAATCATTGAGTGTTTTACCTCACATGGTAGGTTAGAAGTCAGACAACCAGTCAGAGAAAGTGTCATCCTTACTGTTTGGATAAAGTTAGCTGTGTGATAGGCCCATGTAGGGCAAGTACCCACTCAGGGTTGTTGGTGATAGATGCCAGGTAGTGTAGAAATCCTTCCTTTTGGCCGTGGAAAACAACTTTTCAAATTGCTTTGAAGGAACACCAACCTCGAAGCCATCTGACTGATGTCCTTGTTCTGCAGCTAACACTCATGTACATACATGAAATGGAGGCATTATACATTTCAGGTACTGTAGTTCTGTTGCTTGGAGAGTTTTTTTCTAAAAAGGTCTTACTGCTGGTTCTCTGTCTCAAACCTATGTATTGTACTTTAGTACCTAAGCTCCCATCTCTATGCTCAACAATGTAAGACACACAGAAGCAGGGACCTGCTAGTGTACAGCTGCCCAGGGATGAATACTGATACGTGCACACGTTAAAAGTCATAGTTACAAAATGCTGTCAGAGAACATGAAGTACATAAACTTGCATCCTGCTGAGCTGCTGATCACAGACTTGGCTGCCTGCAGCTGAGGTGTAGTTGTCAGTACACAGGTTCCTATTCACACTGTCTGAGGGGGATACTGGGTCTCAAGACTAGATCTTCCAAGACATCGTGCCTCAAGTGCACAGATGGATTCTGCCAAGTCTGTATCTGTTGGTTAAAAGTCAAGAACAGTGCACAGTCTGTCCTTGTGAGGGTGATCTTGGATCCTGTACACGTTGAGGGACACCCGGTTCCAATTTTCCAAAGCCTGGTAAGGGATAGCTAGGAGTAGAGCAAATGAGAAATCCTCCCTGTGTGTTCGAAATGTTTTTACTCAAACCGGTTCCCGCCAGGTTTCTTCTCTCCAGCGGTGCTGCAGTTCCCAGTATGTATGTTATGGGTTGTATCACTGCCTTGAAGGTTAACACGGTTCCTGTACATCACAAC